AAACCAATGGGCTGGCCAGGCTGGCCATGGGTCAAAATCCAAATCGGTTAGCCCCAGTGAACATCAACCAATCCAACCACTAAAATAGGTTCTAAAATGGGTGGTGCACCTTCCCCACAATCCACGGCCGGGTCTCCTCCAAAGCTGTCTCTGGGATTCAGCTACCATCAAAACAATTCTTGGGTTTGTGTAGCCACCATCGTTTACCGTGGAGTTTCGTCATCTAAATTGGGTTCAACTGTTCTTTTCAGGGGGGTTGAACCTAGTTCGTTAGTTAGTCAATCAGTCAGTCAGTCAGTCAGTTAGGTAGGTAGTTAGGTAGTTAGGTAGTTAGGTAGTGTGTTTGTTCGTTTGAGGATGCCACACCAGGGTGAAGGTAGGATGGCACAATTCCCGGCGTGCATGTGCTACACATGAGTGTCTGTGTGTCTATTTGTGTGTGATTTGAGGCTCGGTTCCCACTTTGGGCGTGGTAAGGGGAAACCAAGATCCAAAAATCCTAGAGACACACACACACACAACAAATTTTATCTCTATGTTAGGGTAAACTAAATTTGGAACCGAGTCGGAACAAGAAGCACATGTCCTGTCTGCCCTATGTTGGGCCCAGCAAAGTCGGTCCGTGCCATCAACACCCTATGACGCATAATGTAACCCCGGATTAATAAACCCCTGGTTGATTAATAGGGGGGGTGTCCCCTTTTAGTGGGGATTCATCACTTTTGGAGGGAACACCCCCTTATAATGGGGCGGGTTTATTAATCCTGGGTCAGCATTAGGCCAGACATACTGCGGATGGACGACATCCATTTCACACCGCCTAAGAATCCCTGGAGCGATGATTTCCCTGTAGATACCAACAAACAATGGCTTCCCGTGGTTTCAAAGCGGTGCGAAATGGATTTCGCTTTTCCATCCACAGTAGGTCCGAATATCAGCACTTTGGATGACTTAGCATGGTGTTGGGCTCCATTTTTTCAGTACCAGGTCTCATTTGGGGATGTCTCCACTCGGGACCCCCTCGTTTGGATGATCGCTCTAAATCAAGAAAGACCAAGGCGCGTGGAGGCGTACCTTCTGATGTTCTGGGAGGAATCGCTAAATGACTAGTATCCCTGGTTGTAACCCACTTATGGTTGTAAGTCCCCTGTAACTAGGGTTAAGCATTTAGCGCTTCGTCCCAGACCATCTAAGGGGGACGGTTATGAGAATCTCGGATCTCGCGAAGCGGATCTCTTCTCAGCTGGGTCCTCGGAAGCCATGGCGGTAAGGCGGCACCGGTGATTCGATGAGATACAAAAATTCAAAGAGGGGGCCCCTTTCTGGAGGTCCGAGAGATCGATTTGGAAATCCAAGACCTCCAGTTTGAACAGCCAAGCTGCAATTGAAGAAGGGGGCCCTTTTTTGGGTCTGGTTTTCAAGGGGGAACACACTCCGTTTTGAAAAGCCAACTGCACAAAGGGTACCCTCGTTGGGCTGGGAATAAAAGCAACACGCTTTTTCCAATTTCGAGGCTGCGATTCCGATCTTTCGACCCACGCCAAATCTTGTGGGGAGAACCATACAAGAGGCATGCGATGTTACAAGAGGTGAGTGTCTTTTTTGGGGAAGTATCTGGCTGTGGGTCAAAAATATGTACCCAAAATGGGCTTCCCCAGTAAATGAAACCAAGGATTAAACCCTGCGGTTTCCTGGCTTAATTTTGACCCATACCCAACTCAACCTTCTCCTCACACGCCATGATTTGGGTATGGGTCGAAATTAAACCAACAGGAATTGGACCGCAGGTTTGAATGTCCTTGGTTTCATTTACTGGGGAAGCCCATTTTGGGGAATCCTATTTTTGACCCACAGCCAGGTGACCATGGGTGACCCTTCTCACTTGCCCAAAGTGAATCGACCTTCTAAGCCTTTGGTTTTCCTATTTCCGCCGTTTTTGGTACGGATCTTCACCTAGAAAACCTCGGCTCGCGGCTCTGCTCGGGCGCTCGCGGCTCCGAGCGAGCGAGAGCGCGCTCGCTCGCAGGCCAAGGAACTCCGAGAGGACGCGCAGAGTCAGTGCCTGGCCGGGGGCCAAAAGCTTTGGGAGGGTCCTGCTAGGTCCCCCAGCAATTGGTGCCCTTCCTCACCGTTTCTTTTCTGGTTGGGAGGGTTGCCCTACTAAAAGAGACAGAAAAAGTCGGTACCAACTTATTCTAACCGCTCTACTGGAGGACCTAGTCTGTCTTCAGTTGGTTGCCCTGCAGGTTTCTTTGGTGGATTTTGCCAAGGGATGTTAGGACTTTAACGTTTTGCCAACTAGTGGGTTTTCCCATTGAACCACTAAAGTTGTAACTTTTAGCAGGGCTTCGCAGAAAGCAACCGAGGTTTGTGATGGTTCTGTTTTTTCTTCAGTTGGTTCCCCGTTTTGGGGAAGGGGACACCTGCAAGGAAATGCCATTTTGAGGGTTTTTGCCACTACCATAGGTGTCCTTCTTGGTTGTTTTGGTGGAAAAATAGATGGCCCTGGTTTACCTAGTGGTTTAATCATCCACCAGGGCCATCTATTTCCTCTACAAGGACACCTATGGCCACTACTTTGAGATTGAAGCATGGCAAGAGCTCTTGGTGCGTGGCGAAGGGGAAAGCTAAATGGATGCTTGGCATGCGAGTACGCGCTGGGCAGCGGCTGGGTGGTTCCCAGCCGTGCGAAGACGCTGTGGCTTTTTCAGCTGCCAAGGTCTGGGGGACAAACCATATGGGCAGGTACCCCTGATATCTCGTTGGGATATATGGACATATATATATATATATATGTATATATATGTATATATATATATATGTATATCCGTTATGTAGCTATGTATTTGGGCTTGGCATTTTGAAGGGGCACCTAGCTAGGGGTGCATGGTCGGGAGTTAGACAAGGCCCGATCTCGTTCTTTACGACTGACATTTACGCGAGCTGGCCACCGATTCTCTTTCGAGCGACAGCTTTCTGAGTAGCCGTGGTATTTTTTTTCTCCGGCAGACGCAGATGCGTTCGCGCAGAACCAGTGATAAGGGTCTCAATTTTCTCACACCCAAAGTTCCTGGACTTGAGTCACTTGGGCTTGGATCATTTTGGTCAAGTTCCTGGACTTCTTACATCCACTCAAGTGTGTGTTTTAGAGGAATGATGTTGAGCCCTGATTCAAAAACCTCCCAATAGCCCCGGTCCGCCTGGAAGAAAGGATTCACCACTAAAAAAGGGCCCCCCCCTAAATAACCTTTCTTGTCACAGCTGATCGCTGCAATTCTTGAATTTCTGGGTCGTTTGGGTTGAATGAGAGATGCCCTCAACATCTTGGCACCTCCACTTCTTCCCCCCTGATTGAGAAACAAGTACTAGGCCCTCTTCCAACTTCCCAGGCGATCGCCACAAGGTCCCCCCACCCCTCTCCCATGCTCGAAGGGCAGTTTGGGGCCTTAGGCGCTGGAGCAGTCGCTGGACCGGCTGAGAGCATCCGTGGAGAGCCAGGACACGTTGACACGTTGCGAGCTGCAGCCATAGGTGTCAAGCGTTTTCTCGGTGAGTTTGGGCAGGGAAAGCGAGGTGTTTCGCTGGCTGAACGGCTTTACTTTATGCTTCTCTAGGTCCCCCAGCTAGGTGCCCTTCTTAACCCCTTTTTTCACCTCGGAGGGTGGGAATCCCCGCTGGTCGTTTGGGACGAGGTGAAAACCAATGGGCTGGCCATGGGTCAACAGCCAAATCGTGCCCCCAGTGAACATCCCCAATCCAACCACTAAAATAGGTTCTAAAATGGGTGGTGACTTCACCTACCCCAAAATGGGATCCCAGTGGTATTCAGGAAACAAGGGATTGTAAAGGGGACACCAACCCCCTTTCTGGGCTTTTGGTTGGGCAATTGAGCTGGTGTACCGATGCCCATGTCGAGAACCCAAAATGGCTATGGGGGATTCCACCCAAATGGCTGTCTCAAAATAGACCCCCAATCCTAGGTGTCCTTTTCGGTTTGCGTAAAAAAATGGAGGGCTTCCCCTGGTTCAGATGGGGTTTCTGCCCCATTTCCCAGGGCCATCTGTGGCAATGGGGGGGGTGGTGGTTCTTCGGCCGGGAGGACTTGGCGGCCTCTGAGCAGGTGGCCAGCCTTGAGGAGTCCGAAGTCGGATCGGTCGGTCTCTCGCCCGCCCCGTTTTCTTGGTTTGCCCTGGCCCGCAAAAAAGGGGGCACAGAGAAAACGAGATGTTCTGAGATTGCTTCTGCTTCATGTTCAATCTACCCTAAAATGTGTGTATATATATATACGCACACGCGTGAATACACGTTTTATGTGTATTTCATGCGACATATTCTTTCGCGCGAGACCCAGGCTTCAGGAAATCCCCTGATTCCACCCCCCTCAGGCGCCCTGATTCCGCCCAGACCGGTGAACTTCCCTGCTTCCTTCTTGAAGGAATGTCCCTGTGAAGATTCTGGATTCCCAGACACCCGGTGGCTTGTTTCCCTTTTCTCTTTTGAACTGAATCAAAAACAAGGTGCCTCTTTTTCTCATGGACATCCACTGCAATTTTCTTCAAAAGGCGATCCTTAGCACCTCCAAGAGCACCCACCCCAAACAGCACCCCCCCCCCCCCGGCACCCTGCCATGAATCTCGCATAAATGCTCCCCCCAAATGGATTTCGGTTTTCCTTTGGTTTCCCTTTTAGCCAACCAGCCAACAGCAGAAGCAAACAAGAGCCACATGAGTGTGACACATTTTCCGAGGGGCCCAATTGTTTGGTTCATCCAAGGATAAATAGAAAAAGCCAATGAACGGGATTCATGAAAAAACATGTTTGGCGGTAAGGTAAAAAGGGACCCCCCTCCTCCCCTCCCCTCCCTCCTCCGCCTTACGCTAGGAGCGCTTGGAGACCTTAGAGATGGACCTCGCGCGGGAGACCCGGCAGGCGCAGAAGCAGGCGCGGGCTACTCGGGTCGAATCTAGAAAGCCCGAGAAATCCCCCAGATTGGTGCCCTTCTTATCCCCTTTTTTGGTTCGGAGGGGAACCCCCTTCGAACTTTCTCACCCACCTTTTTGGTTGGGAGGGTTTCACTACTAAAATAGACTACAGAAAACAATCGGGTACTCTTATTCTAACCTCTCTACTGAAGGACCTAGAAGCGGGTTGGACGCGCTTCTTGTGGATTTCAGCTTTGATCCGTTTTGGCACTCGTTTAGTACCCTCCCACCAGCTAACATGGAAGTGGACCCCTGTAGAAAGACTACTTTCCTCTTGGAAAGGGCCTTTTTGCACTTCCATGTTAGTTGTGGGAGGGTATATAGGGGTGGATCCACAAGAGCCACATCCAAACGGTTTTTCTAGATACAAGCCAAGCAAATTTGCAACACAGATACTTACATTCGGTGTAGCTGATACCAGTTGTTGCAAGAATACAGACTTAGCTCAAATATTATGTGCAATCTATTTTTTGTTGGGGTTTGGGCTGGGAGAAGTCTTTGGCCACAGTCTAAGTTGCCCAAAGCGAATCGACCGGATCCAGAATCCCCTTCCCGCTTCTGGCAAGCATTTTGGTCACCCCAGGGTCATCTGTTATTCTGGGTCCAAATTTGGCAATTGAGAAGCTACACGAGTTGACGAGTTGGGTTGGCCAAAAAAAATCGGTAGATGTAGCCATTTACTTTCAGCCAACTGTAGCCGGGCGTTTCCTGTTGGTCTTTAAAGAGTGGTGCCCTTGGCTATCCTACAGGGAAACTGAATCACTGGGCTTTTTTTCCCCCCCCGAACCCCTGGTTGATCAATACGGGCTGAGCTTACTTCAGAGCGACGCCATTCACTGTTGGGAGGAACACTCTATGAATCCAACAGGTTATATGACTCCGAGCTCGGCATTTCCTTGATGGGGTTTCTCAAAATAGGAGACCCCTTCGCGCCTTTCGATCCCTCCACTTGCTGCCACCCAAAACACACGGAAAAACCCACAAGCGGTTGTTCTATGCTCTTGCCAAACAAAAAACAGGCGAGAAGCCTCTTCAGGGAGGGGAACCTTTTTGCATTTTTTTCGCCGGTTCAGTCATTCAGCCACCTTGTGCTATCCCCTTTTTGGTCCATGTCTGGTGGCCCCAGAGTTTGATCTCCTTTGATGTCTGTGTCCAAACTGGGCAACTGAGATTGCTTCAGGAGGTGAACAGTTTATGCCTTGTGTTTTACTGCAAAGCTGTATGGTGTATACCAGCCGTAGGCTGTATTTGCTTTTTTTGGTTTGGAGCCATTCGGGGTACACCTGTTGACTGGGATACCAACAGTGCTTGACGACCTGACACAACTTCGTTTCCGCCGCATGGCTATATGTCTGCTATATACTCTTCTTCCTTAGCTTCGGTGGTTTGGGGCAATGGACCCCAGTCAGAAGGAAGCAATCAGCTAGTGAAAACACGTATTCTTATCCCCCCCCCCCGTCGCGGAAATGATGATAGTTGTTTGTTCCCACGCTTACTTACGAATAGACTGTGTCAAGTGGAAAGGACACCCAACGGCTTTTTGGGCTACTCTAGCGCGGCACCCTTAATTGGTGGTTTGCATTCTGGTTTTGGATTTGAACCCCTGGTTCTTGTGGACAAACGGGACACCAAGCCAGCAGGCTCCAAACCGAGCCAATTGGAGCCAATTGGAGGGAAGCTGAACAGTATTCCAAGGCTACTCTTTTTTTTCTTCTTAAAGTCCTTCTTTCTTTTATTAAAAAAACCTCCGGCCCAACGTTTTTTTTCACTGCGACGTTTTTTTGTTGACTAAGAACGATGGTTGAAAGGAACGGACCAGGGAAAGCAAAAGCGCAGTCCTTGCGTCCCTCAGAGGGAATCAAGGCCTAGACTCCTGCTCAATCCCTGAACGGGGAGGGTAGCCTTCAGCTTCCCTCAAAAAGGGTGCAGGCGTTCCGGGTGGCGTCTCATCCCTCAAGAGCCAGGGGTTCAAGTTTGCAAACCACTCCAAGACTCCAACTACGGGTGCCCTGACAATCTGCGGGAATGAGTATGACTCACTGGAAGTCATACCCAGACTCAACCCAAGTGAACAATCCACGTTGAACCCAGTTTAACCCAGGTTGAAAGGTCCAGGCTGAATCCAGGTTCAAGTTGAACCCGTGTTCCTTCTTGGGTTGAACCAGGTTGCAGGTTGACCAGGGAGGGTGGTTTCCCACCAAAACCTCCACCAGAACCTCCACCAGAAGGCGGGGCCTTGGCTTTTGCGAGGCGGACGAGGGCTTGCAGAATCTGAGCGGGAAGATCAGCAACATGGAGGAGGCCCATCGGACTTTGTGAGATCAACTCCTGGGGGATGGGATGGGTGGGTGTGTTATTCTTCCATTTGCTGACATGATTCATGTTGATCATTATGATTATTATTTCCCCTTGTCGGTTTTGCAGGAGATCTATGACTGCCAGGGAGCTTAAGCACATGAAAGTATCCGTGGATAAGCCAAGGATAAGCCAAGGATAAGCCAAGGATAAGCCAAGGATAAGCCAAGTAGAAGCCAAGGATAAGCCAAGGATAAGCCAAGAATAAGCCCAGGATAAGCCAAGGATAAGCCAAGGATAAGCCCTTAATGCCTGATTCGGGGCGGAAAAGAAAAGAAAAAAGGGATCGTGCCCCGCCCCCCCTCTCCCCCCCAAGCCCCCCCCCCTTAGGGGTCCATGATGAGTGTTGTTGATTCTTCTTTTTTGTTGAGGCGCTTTGTGGGTTGAAGGGAAACGAAAGGGCTCCCTTGTGATTCTGGGGTCCCCCTGTTTTGACACACACACACCCATTTTATATCTTCGGGTTGACATTTGAAGCAGAGTCCGCACGTTTTTTGCTCCTGTGCTTGGTCCGCAAGTGGGCCAAGTGAGGTTCGGCCAACCATTTCTGGATTTGTCTATGGTCCATTTGGGAGGGCGTTTGGGAATGGGAGAACTCACCTTCCCGCAAAGGGAACTTACTTGTCCCATGGGACAAGGCAATTCGGGTGCTCAGCAGGGAACCCCTTCCCTTAAAGGAAGCCACCCAGTTGGATGGTTTAAATCGGGGGCATTCCATTTCTCGTTCCCTGCATCTCTCGCAGCGATCGCAAGTTGACCTATGTGTTGCAAGCAACCGGAGTTTGAGGTGTGAGACGCTCTGCAGGCTGCAAGCAGTGAACGCCGAGACCGCGAAAGAATGGTATGCCGTGAAGTTGAAACAATTTCTGTAAGCCACGTCAATCATGTACGGAGAATCTGAAAGGAGCCCTTCTCTTAGGACTCATTAAACGGGTCACCCAAGTAGAAGTGCTAGCCAAAGGGGAAACCCTAAACCCTCTTGGGGCTCAGTCATTTAGAGAGAAACCAAGCTTCATTTTGTTCAAGTGGAACGTCAGTAGACCAATCTCTCGTTCTCTTGGAATGGGACCGCAGCCAAGTCGGCTTTTCCTTTCTAGGTGGGGAGATTCGCTAGTCCCCCTTCGGCCCCCCCCCCCACCCTAAGCCAAGCCGGAAGAACGCCCCCGGTAGGGGGAAAGGACGGCGGAAGAGACAAAAAAATCCTGGAAGAAACACTAGGTTCCGCAGTAGTGCCCTTTTACCCTTTTTTGGCTTCCCCTACTAAAATAGATCACAGAAAAAAGGGCACCCTTATTCTATCCTCTCTAATGTTTCCTCTGTTGCCCTCCATTTGCTTAAGAATATGTTTTATTTTCCCCTGTTTTAAAGGGAATCGGTTTCACTACTGGACATATTGTTCTTTGTATTTTTTCTAGGGGTCTTAACCAAATGGAACACGAAACATGATCTGAATCTGTTTTTGGTGCCACCCGAGGGTTGGGCCAAATGGGAGTTTCTCCTCCCGGCTCCAAAGATTTTGGGCGGGAGGGAATGCAGAAATGGAGGGACACAGATTTTTTGACACCAATGCCATCTGCGTAAACAAGGGTAATACCTTTAAAAACTGAAGAATTACTTCCATCAACATCTCTCCATGGTTGTCATGACTGCATTTGGTCTTATGGTACCCCAAACCATGCTACCCCTTTCCAGGAATGAGTTTGGAGGTATGGAAGCCGACACATACTTGCATTTGCTGATTGTTTGTTTCCTCTTTTTTGACACACAATAAACAATCTAATAAACATATGAAATAAATGAATACATAAATAAACAAACACAAATAAATAAATAAGTAAATAAGTAAATAAGTAAGTAAAAAACATGAATAACACAAACTCCTCTTTGGTTTAAAGGGAGTCTATGCACTACTGGACATATTTCCTCATTTTTCTCCTGGGGCAAAAACGCAAATGGAAGTATACCACCAGCGAAGAGAACACTAGTGGCATTGTCTCGCTTCCATACCTCACTTGAAATTCTGGCGTAGCCTTTTTTTAACACCCCAAAGGACCCGGAACTGACAATACGACCTGCAGAACCAGAACCAACAGCCCTGGGAATCCACTTCCTAAGGACGACACCCATTTGGGTTTGTTTTTGGGGGACCCCCCAAAATGGTTGGCTTGTGGTCTTCCCTTTAACCGACCACAAAACAGGTATCCTTCTTCCCACTAAGGTGGCATGGGGTACCCGGAAGATCAGTCTCCTCTTGGGAGTCATGGCAACAGTTGCCATGGCAACGGAGGGAGGGTAACTCAAACCAAGCCTTGCTGGTGCGATAGGTAGGGAATGCCACTTCCAGGTGTTGGTCGAATGAACCTTCAGCAGATATTCCCTTCAAGGAAGCATTCCATTTCTTCCCATTTCTTCCCATTTCTTCCCATTTCTTCCCATTTCTTTGGGTATTTCTTTGGTTCAAGGAAGCTGCAATGGAGTCTTTGTTTGGGTCATTCCCTTTCTTCCCTGCATCTCTCGCACGTTTCGCCCCCCGTTCGGGCGAGAGAATTTGGAGCCCCTCCAGGCCCTGAAGGATCGGGAGCAAGCGGTGCTCTTCGGATCCCGGCCACTCGAAGACTCTCGGTCGAGTTCGAGAGGGTGAGAACTCAACTGGGCCGAAGAAAGCTTAGGGCAAAATGGGTGAGTCAATGATCATGGCTGTGGACAGGACACATTCCGGGCTCGCCTTCTCAAGTTTTTGCAGATGGCTACGAAATCCAGACATCGCACCACCGTTCAGAAACCTGATTCCCTTGTAAGTATCAACAAACAATGGTTTCAACCATGGTTTCAACCATGGTTTCAACCATGGTTTCAAATTGGTGCGAATGAATTTTGTTCATCCACAGCAAGGTGTACAGTTTTGTGGATCGTGGGTCATCGTGTCTTATGACATATATTGGAATAAGCTCGAATATGGTTGGGTGATCCCTCAAACAGGTCCTTTCACCAGCGCCCAACAAGTTGTACCCACCCATCGCACTGTCCACGATCTCCATGGGCGCAAATCCTTTGTTGGGGGGCGGGGGGGAGGGCATGGACACTTAAAGTCTATTTTGCAGCCTGGAACCCTAAAAAGCACATACCCTAAAAGAAGGAAGTTGCAACATAGATCTTCAGCGGGGGGGGGCAGGGGTTCCCAGAAAAAAGAAAAACAACTCCTAGCAACTCACATGGACGTGCACAGACCCGGACGTTGGAAGACGCAAAAAATCGATGGAAACTGGGGCTCGGGGGCTCCTCAACTTCAAAACAGGGCTTCCAAAAAGAGTTGTCCTGTTGGTTTCCTTTTCCTTTGGCTTCCTTTCCTTGAGTGTTTGGTTCTTTTGGTGTCCTCTCCTTTCTTGGTTGGTTGGTTGGTTGGTTGGTTGGTTGGTTGGTTTGGTTTCCTTTCCTGTTGGTATCCTTTCCTTTCCTTTGGCTTCCTTTGGCTTCCTTGGTGTCCTCTCGGTTGGTTTTCTTTTTGGTTTGCTCGGGTTTCCGCGGGCGGACGTGGCCGCAGGTCAACTGACCTTTTCCAAATCCAAGGCAGCAGCTTCCCCAAAACCCCGGCGCCTGCTTTGTCGGTGGGTGACCAAACCAACTGACCCCAGGAAAAAACCGGCCCCAAACAAACCTTTGCGCAGGTCAATCGCAATTGTTACCTACATCCAAGCACAGATCTTTCCTGCACATCCAGCACACAAAGGCCGCCACTTTTCGCCATGGCCTGACTTGAAATTCCGCCCCCCACACGGACCGGCATTTCTCTTTGAGTGCAACGCCCACACCCAAATGGCCACGTCGGGGTCTGTTTTCGTTGCCTCACTCGGTGCATTTTGTTTTCCAGGCTCCACAAAGCGGTTTGTTTTCGGCACATGATGTGGCTCCTAGAGGATTTGGACCAGCTTTTTTGAATCACGCGCTGGGCTTCTTTAGCACAAAGGAGGCTGCTCAAGCCCCTTTTTTCCGGGTCACGGTTCGAGATCGATTCTGGGCGTTGGATCAAACAGTCCGAACCCGTCACATGGTCCCGTTCTACCCTTCACTCTGCGTCTCCTCCGTTAGGTCCCCCAGTAGTGCCCCTTCACCCTTTTTTGGGGGAGGGTTCCCCAGACTACAGAAAGAAGGGTACCCTTATTCTATCCCCTCTACTGGAGGACCTAGGATATGAAGCAGGATTTGATACGAACAAGCTTTTGCTGCAGCTCAGAGTTTTGCCGAGTCCAGCCGAGCTTCCTTTGTTGCCTCCGCATCGCGCTCGATTCGAGGTGCCTCTCGTGCAACCGCGCTTACGATGATACGGTGAAGACACCAGGCAAACGTGTGCGGGAAGGGCGTGGGGGGAGGGGGAAACACCACGGGCTGAAGTATCGAAAAGCAAACTTGTTGCTCCCATGACTCGACTTCCTTTAACGTGCTTTTCACAAGCCTAACCTGTTTGGAGCCTTTGCGGATCAAGCCAAGCAGGTGTTGGTCCTGGCTTGTCCTCACGTTGCCCAGCTGGGCTCCATCGGGAAAACGGGGGCCGCGAACCGGGCACGTTGAAAGTGAGTTGGGCATGGGTCAAAATTAAACCACCAGGAATCGGACCGCGCACGTCTCAGTGCTGGGGAAACCATTTTCCAGGGCCCCGTGCTGGGTACCTTTTTTTTTGACCTGGCGCCATATTTTTTGGGTCGACGCCAAACCAAAGTTGCGCGGCATTTGGTTGGGGCTTCCGTCGAGCGACGGACCAATTTCTTGCCCTAAGGCTTTGATCGATTTGGAATATGTTTGGACTGGCAAACGCGAGATAAGGGTTGTGCGATTCAACTCCTTGTTAAAGCCGTGGTTAAACATTCACCCGTCATGTCAGCAACCTCCTCTTGGTGACACTTAAAGGGGGGCATGACAATTCTTCTGCGATTCCGAGGTGCTAAAGTAGTCCTGCGGATGGTGGACTTTGGTATCAGAGCTTCAGGTGATTTTCCCCATGAAGGGCCGACTCGGGTCTGGTTGAAGAACATCTAGGTCCCCCCGTAGTGCCCTTCTCTCCGCTTTTTTGTTTGGGAGGGTTCCCCTACTAAAATAGACTACGGAAAAAAATGGTACCCTTGTTCTAACTACTGGAGGACCGAGACATGTTGCAACCGACCCTTGAGAAACAAGTGACAGGTGTCCCCGGATCGTCTCGCGGCAGACATTTTCATGTGCTAAGGCGTACAAGCTGGTGTTTCTCGATGCTCCCGTTTTGGCAAGGGTAAGCCAAAAGGGCTTCCCCTTGCCACAGGACATGGACCGATTCCTATAAAGAAATCCATCGGGAAACGAGAGCTGCCTTGGATGTCTTTTGAGAACTCATGGACTGGACGATTCGACTTGGACCGTTTCAGGTGATACAAAGAGCACTGTCCAAGATGAACCTGAAACGACCTGAGCGGCTTAAACCGTCCATAGCTTGTGAGCATACAAGTCCCCGCCTGTGATGAGACTGCTCATAGGTTGTCTGCATGACGACATGTATATATATATATGTATGTGTATACATATATATATATATGTATGTGTATATATATATATATAAATTTATATGTGTTCTGATGTACGCCTTTTTGGGGTTTAAAAGTGATCCAAGAGGAACCCCCGCCAATTTAGGGGGCCTTTCATTTTGACCCATGCCCCATGGTTGTTTTTTGTCTTTTGCCGCGCGGACCCCAATCGTGAGCCATCCACTTCTCCAGTGGTACCCTGCTCTTCAGGGATCCTTCTCTCCAAAAAAGTGGGCCTTGGCCCACCTGGAAAAAGAAAGAGGTGGTTTCTAAAGAGAAGCGATGGGTGGAGAGGATGGACAAGGAATCAAACCTCAGGACTCGGCGTCGTTTCCGTGGGAACTCCGAAGCGAACTCCGAAGCCCAGGCACCGTGAACCTGCCCGCGGAGCAGCGCAAAGCGCAGGCTGGATTGAAATTTTGGGCCACTTTTTTGGGCGATTTCGGGTACTAGTTGCTGAAAGAACTCTTGTGTGTGTGTTTTTTTTTTTTTTTTTTTTTTTTTTTTTTTTTCTGTTGGGTTTAGAGGGAATCTATCAGTACTGGACTTGACTGCTATTGGGTTGGATCTTCAGACTTTAACTTTTTGGTTGAAATAAGGGGGACATCAAGTGGGGGGTTTCCACTTTGCACCCCCAACAAGTGGTCAACTCTTTGCAGAGGGGGTCGTTGCAACCGAGGATTTGGGTGCGTCCCACTCCCTGAGTTCCTGGTTGCTCACTGTTGCTCACTGTCACACCCTGGGCTAATCCGCGCGCACCAGAGGTGCTAGACTTTATGCATTTGTTTGGGTGCTAGACTTGATGCCTTGTCTTGGGAGCATCAATTAGGTGATAGGAAAAACAGGCTCGGACTTTTTGGGCCAATCACTCAGGAAGTGAGACGCGGTTCTACTACCTGGTTAGTCAGGATGCTAGTGAGGCCTGTAGAAGCCTTTCAAACCATGTTGGTGAACCAAAAGTCTAGGTTTTGGGCAGTGCTCAATGTGTTTAGGGTATGACTTGGACCCTGCCCCCGCCCACAGTGGATGAACATGTGGATCAACCGCTAAGACACACATCAAAATCGTGGCGACTGTTAAGGTTAGTGACTCAGACCAACTCCTTAGTTCATAATTTGGACTATGATTCCTTCAGGATTTCCATGTAGTGGATGTCAACCGTGGCACATGTGACAACTTGTCGTTTGTACAATTTTGGCTTGCTCGTTGAGGTTACGCGAATCATACTATAGCAGATCAGACAAGATACACACTAAGATGTGTGTACGCACATGTATGACATGCGCACATACGCTCACGTATGCGGAGCGACTCTGTCGCCTTCTCTCTTCGTTGCTCTACGCGGCGACCATGGGCCCAATCGGGGGGTTAGACCACTATGACACAGGTTCCTACGGAGCCATGATCACGATCCACAGATCGGAGTTTTGAGCATGGCTCGAATGGATGGTTTTTTGATGATATAGATGGGGGTGCACATCTATAGAGAACCCCCGCTGCTTATTCATGCATATATATACATATATGTATATATAATACACACCCTCCCTCCCACCATCTCCCACGAACATGGCACCTGAACGGGGTCCCTTTAAGAGGCAGGCGTCATTATATATACATATATGTATACATATATACACATGCAGATATTGACATGTCTATTTGGAGCCCCCTGCATTTCTTCCAGATCTTCGCCGAAATCCAGCGGGCGCTGCACAACCCGAGGCGGAGTTGATGCGGGCCGGTTGGAACATGCAGGTGCTTTACTTGGGCGGCCCAAGTATTGCGTTTTGGAATTCTCGTAGAATCTGCAGAAAGCTGGTTCAAGGGTCACTTTCTCTGCCAAAATAATTAGGCCCCTTCAGGTGAGAAAGCTGTCGATTTGTCATGAGAGAAACGCCTATTTTCGACAACCATTCTAGACTTGTGTTTCTTTTTCCGGGGAAAACTGAGGTAAACCTTGGTTGGGTGTCCCTTGAGCACCCGGAAAAAGGACGCCTTGAAAAACCAGAGCCACAAAAAGATCCTGGATAGGTTTTTTGGGTTTTTCTTTGCCAACCGGACTTGGGCACCCTCAACAGCAACAGCCACACAGATCCTGGATATGTTTGTCAGGGTGTCGACGTTTCCGAAATGGGTCTGCCCGCGAGCTCAGCGAGGCGAAAAAAAGGAATTCGCCTATGGTGTAAGTCCCGTTGGCATTTCCGGTTTTGGAATGTGGGTCTGTGTTCTTTTCGGGGACCCCCAAAAAAGGTGGGTGTTCTTCCTGGTTTCCCTTTTGTGGGAAATTTTTCGGACGGTAAAATGGTCAGCAAAGGGTATGAATTTTCTCCCGAAGTCTCTGGTTGCAACTGGCACCCCTCGAAGAGAGTTTGGAGCCACGGGTGCCTCCTCAAGCCGGCTACGGCCAAAAGCGCTGCTTGCCTGGTGCGATAGGGAACGAGAAATTCTAGGGGTCCATGTTCATTCTTTTCAATCATCGTCCTTTTCAATAACTGGCCGGCTTTCCCCAGAGGTTTTCTAAAAAGAAGGATCGCTGGAAAGAGAGGGGGAGTTACCCTTTGAGAAATGGAATGAGCCTGGATTTTCCCTCAAAGGAAACAGGGATGGTTTATTGGGGGGTCATTCCCTGCTGAGCAGCAAGATTGCTTGTGTTCGTTTGTGCAGGGTTGTTCCCAGCCCGTCCAGGTATTGAATTTAAGAAGGGTAGAAGAATTGGTGTGGCTTTCGTTTGGCTCCCCTGAGCCATGTCTACCCTTTGAGCCATTGGAGCGACCCTCTGCTGCTTTTGGGGGTTTTGTTTGTCGGAAAAAAGACATGCCGCAATGATTCCGTCACCCTTGGAAATGACCTCGCTTGAAGAAAGGGAGCGAAGATCCGGAAGATCGGCGTGCCCTAGAAAGCCTCTTGACCAGCGCTGCAAAGGATAGAGCCAAACTGGCCCCACAATACTGTGGATGGACGAAATCCTGCACCACTTGGACACCATGGGAAACCATTGTTTGTTGGTATTTGCAGGGGAATCATCATTCCAGGGCTCCTTGGGTGGTGCAGGATTTCGTCCATCCACAATAGGTGGCGAAAGGACCCCCGGGTACTTGGTTGGTCCAGGAGTGAGGTGGTCAGTGGCCCCATGCCGTTTCGCCGAGTCCCGTTTGGCCCTTTGGCAAGCTTTCGCCTGGGCGGCCATCAGAGTCTCACTCAAAATCCGGAGAATTTCGAGGGTAGAGGGGACACTCCCAGCCATAAAAACGCGACTCCGGATATATCCGCCTTGGAAAAATTATTGAAGCATGCTTCGCAGTTCACCATGCCTGCAGGTTTTGATTCTGACTCACACGTTGCTTCTCGGCCCCCAAATGACCGGTGGCTTGGATTGGCGGCTTGGGGATTCGAAGGCATGAAATGGTTCTTGTGGAGAGGGAAGCGACCGTACTTGAAGCCACCAGGCTGCTTAAATCACCTGCTCCGGAATCCGGACATTCTTTGAAACAAGTTCAAGAGTTGACCTCATGCAACAAGTCTTGGTGGTTCCCAGCCATCAGGTTCCTTTTGTAGCTTTTGGTTGGTGTAGTGGTAGTGTCCATTTAACCCGCTAAACACTTGACTTTCAGCAGACAGCCCAGAAGGAGGGGGCTGCCGAAAAAAGAGCCACCCCGGCCGCGCCCCGTTTTTTTGTCTTCTTCTTTTTCTTTTTCTTTTTCGCCGCGAGGACAGACCCAAAGGAGAGCATCAAGCTGCTTGCGGTGAAGGCGAGACTTGTCACGTTCCGAGTTCCGAGTTCCGGGACCCTGCCTTTCATGCAATCTGCTGAGCAGTCCTTTGATCAGTAGCGAATGCATCGGGTGCATTCTTTCGTCTCAAGCATCCAGGCCGCACTCCAATGGCCGCCTGCCGAAATCTCTCACAAAAGTGTGACTGGCAGTGCGATGGATGGCCATGGACGGTCTTTGACCCTTCGTGCCGGCAAGATATACTTCCCCTCTACTCTTCAATGACTGGCTCGTCCTTGGAACCGCTAGGGATGGTTTCAAGGTAGCCGAGGCTGCTGCTGGTATTGCAAGGATTGTGGCTGCACATGAAAAGCGTCATCATGGAGTTCTGAGCCGCAGCCCCAAAAGGACAACAAAGGAGTCAAATGGCTTTTCCATAAACCTACAAAAGGTTAGAAGTTCGACCTTTGACTCAGGAAGGCTACGAGCAACACAGCTTTTTCATAAGCCCTAAGCCCTAAACCCAAAGCCCTTCTAACACTCCCTTGTTGATTTGCATGGAAGGAAACCCAGTCACGTTTAGAGGGAATCTTTTTTTTGGGATGCTCTAGCTAACTTCCATGTGACTTTGAAGAGTTTTGACCCATACCCATACCGATATAGTCGTCATGGTTGAATGGGAATCAATTGATGTCACAGAAAGGGGGTTTCTTCCACACTCATGAGCTAGAGCACCGGGGGGTTTGCAAACCGTGTGAGACCCTCCCCACCTAGTCACGAAAGCTAGCTTTAGCTAGCTGAAGTTTCTCCTTGCGTAAGCAAGGTAAGGGGCTCAAATGCCGAAAGATTGATTTTTTCAATTATTTGAGCCGAAAAGATTGAAAAACATCAATTATTTAGACCCCCCCCCCTCCCCCCCCCCCGGGTCTCAGGCTCGATTCCTCCCTGGTCCATCCCCCCCCCCCGGGCAGTGGCTCAGTGTTCAGCAGTCTCGGTTTGCCCGTTTTGGACTTGGTGCTACGAACTTTTACATGTTCCACCGATTCAGCTTGTTCATTTGAGACCTCAGTCTTCTCAGTAAACCACCTCGCAAGAATCTTTGCACACGCAGCATGCAGAACCCAGAGGTGCTTTAAGACAGCTTCTGACGCCTCTCGTTGTTTTCATTTTTCAAGGTTTGCCACGCCACCATGTGCGTTTGCGTGTCGCATCCTACGAATCTTGCCGGGCCTCTCGTTGTACACAAGCTACCCATGAATCCACTCTGTCACCGACCCATCTCATGCAACAACTGCTAGCTTTCGTTCACCCGCTCCTCAAGTCACTCAGTAAACGTTCTCTTCTAAAGCTGCGGTTTCCCTCCAACAACGGAGTGCAGTGGATTCCTCTTGGGTTTTCAAGGGAACCAAATCCGAAAACAAAAAGAAACTCTGAGTGGGGCAACCAGGGAGCCAACCCCCCTTTTTGACCAATTGCACCTTCGATGCCTGGGCCCTTCTTGTTTGCTTCGCTAGGGCAAATTTCCGAAAGTCAAGTCAAGTACCACTCACTCCCTGAGTTGCGAACAAGGGACTCTTGCCACTTTTGGGTTTGGAGCATTTTAGTGGCAAACAAAAAGTCTGAGTGCTTGTTTTGGCCAGTCCACTCAAGAAGTGAGACCAACCAAGGCTGCATTTTTGCTCCACGAAGACTCTGCCAGCTCTTTGGGATTGATGTTTTTGTTCAGGTGAGACGCAGTCTCAGGAAATAGTTTCTATTTCAAGGTGGACTAAATTTTGTCAGAATTCGAAGAGCTGACTCCCCATATATATACATGGACGGAAGGAGCCCCAAAGAGGGGTCCGATGATTCCCAAAAAGCGTTTCCTTCACTAGTGCTTTTTGCATTCGTTTCTTTTGTTTGGGGGGGGTTCCTTCCGTTAATCTGTACTTAGAGGGTTTGGGACGCATTGCTCAACGGTTAGTATCCTTGTTGTAGTGGAACCACTTGGTGATTCCTCCCAGACCATCTAAGTAGGGGAAACGGCGGATCAACAAACCCCTGTTTGATTTGTTTGGTGTGCCCCCTTTTAAGTGGAATTTCAATCCACTTTTGGAGAGACCACCCTAACAGGACCGGCCTATTACTCCGGGTCACTACGTAGGGGGAGTAACTTTTTCCCGGATTTCAGTTAAGGATTCCTCGCAGACGAATTTTGACATCTCATTCTCTTGGTCCGAGTCATCCCCTTAGGTTTAGTGGTAGTTTACACCAAAAAAAACACATCTTTGACTTTTACTCACTTTCTGAGTTCATGGACTTGAGTCGCTTTTCAGGGTTTGTTTGCAATTTCTTCTGTTACGCAGGAAGTTTGGACACTTGCTTTGGCCCATCTAAGTGCGAACATGCTTTAAACTACGTTGAGGCTTCCGATTTGGTTGGCCCCTCCACTTTGGCCCCACGGTGAGTTTCACTGCGGGGAGCGGGGAGAGTGGAGTCGATGGACGGAGGTGGGTCGGCCATGCGCCAGCACCAAGCCCAGCCGCGAGGCGAAACGAAGCTGAGAGCCGAAACGAAGCTGAAGGGCTTGGTAGGTGGAGACCCGTGCAGTGGTCCAGCTCTACTTCCCTTTTGGGTCTGTAGGTCCCACAGCTAAGGGCCCTTTACCGTTTCTTTTTTGGGCAAGGGAGATTCGGTTCCCCTACTAAAATAGACTACGGAAAAAGGTTGGTACCCTTATACTAGCCTCTCTACTGGAGGACCTAGTGGTCGTTTTCAACATCACCTGCTGGCCAAACATGAAAGGTGAGTGTTTTTTTTTTCCCCCCCGTTTTTTTTTGGAACCCTGGAGAGATTAACAGGGACCATCGCTGTGTTGGTCCTCGTTTTGGCCCCAAAGTCGAGGGCCAAGGGCTTCAAGCCAATTCAAACCCAGGGGTTGCTTGATATCGCCGTGGTATGGGAATTCCTTTTCTGGAGTTCGGTTACCTCCAAGATAATTCAAGTGGGTTCCCTCGACCAAATATGAACGCCAAAACCAAACATCACACGGTCTTGTAAAGGTTTCCATGTAACAAGACAGATCATTTCAGATAACACGTTGGCCAAACAAATGTCATGGTCTTGTGGGGAGTTTTCACTCAACACTTGGGCCCGGCGCCCAAGTGAGCCCTTCTCCCCGGGTCCGAACGGGGCCTTGCAGGCAGTCGTAAGCGAGCCTTGCAAGCAATGCAGCCTTTCTCAAAAGAGGTTTTCGGAGGTTAACCGACAACCAGTGTTCTCAGTGTTCCTCTAAAACCGGCTTTGATATATTATTTGGGAAGTGAGAAGGAAGCCAGCTTTGGAAATGGAGGGATTCCTATTTTGAGAACACCCGCTCTGGAGTTGTTGTTTTGGGATCCGAGAAGCTTTGGGATTTTTTTCTGAAGGTCTCACTTGCCCCCGGCGCGAAGCCGCCGTTTGCCCGAAATCGGCTTTCATGTCTAGCAGCTTGTTTTTGGTCAAGGTTCCAAAGGTGAACCATTTGTTTCCAGGTACATCAAACTGGGCAAGTGGTGGTCAATCCGACCCAGTTTCTGACTTCGCCCTTGAAGCAGTGAACCACATTGGACCCAGTTTTGGTTCTGGGTCACAAGGGCCACGTCTCCTAGATCATTCGGAAAAGGGAACGCAGGATTAGCTCGCCCTCCAGCCCTGATGGGAAACCACAAGGAACAATTCGCCTCTATGGACACCAAAAGCAAAGGGCCCCGAAATCCACGGAAGTCCAAACCGGCCCAAACCTAGGTCCCCCAGTAGTGCCCTTCTCTCCCCTTTTTTGGGGGAGGGTTCCCCCACTAAAATGGACTACAAAAAAAAGGGTACCCTAGTTCTAACTTCTCTACTGCAGGACATAGAAACATTTCGAGCACCAACCACCCGAAACTTCGATGAAAACCGCGCAGGGCCCCTTCGCCAGCCGGGATTCCTCCTCTTTGGCCTATGGCATCGAGGACTTGAGTCGGTTGATCGCTCGGCCCTCGTCTCTTCGGAAGAGGTCAGTGGAGATGTGGCTAGGTCCCCCAGCTAGGTGCCCTTCTCTCCCCTTTTCTTGGGGAGGGTTCCCCTATTAAAATAGAGTACAGAAAAAAAGGTACCCTTATTTGAACCTCTCTACTGGAGGACCTAGGTGGGTTGACCAGATAGGGCACTTATCCAAATATTTACAGGGTTCCACTCATCCTGACTGGTGCAGGAATGTCCATCCACAGTAGCATCTCAATCACTTGTGGATGTTGCTGTGGCTAGCTTTGCATAATCTGATGAAGGCGATGTATCAAAGGAACACGGCGCAAAAAACAGCAGATGATGAATGAATGGCGCCTTTTATTTCCTCTTCATCAAAGGGGGGTTTGGGTTATCAACGTGCAAACGCTTTTGGGGGGGGGGCCTAAAAAAGACACCCCCACATCCTGTATGTTTTGTAGCTTTGCACGCACGGAACAGCCGAAAGATGATTGTGCCACTCCGCGATGTGCCAGAGGACAGCCACGAACGTGGTGACGATTTTTTTGCCTTCGTGCCCTGAATGCTTCACAAAGTTCTTGTGGGCTTGCCTTTTTGGCGGGGCGTTTTTCTCTTTCAGCGCCCACCGTTTCATCGGGCATTGCCTTTTGCAAAGACTTGCTGGCTTCATGTCCACCTCGTACATCAAGCAGCTGGCTCAGACAGACTGTTTGCCTGCTTTGCATGGAAACGGGTAAGATGTTTTCAGAAAAGGAGCCACATCAAAAATGGTTGACGGACTTGAAACTTCCATTGAATTCTGATGTCCACCGTCTCAGGTCTCTAAATTTAACTATCATGCTCACTTGGAATCGCTGGGCGAAAAATGGATGAGTCTTTCTTGAGAGTATTTTTTTTTGGGGGGTCCCCCCAAAATAATCACATGGTGCTTTGCCTTTGGTTTTCCTCCAACTCACAAACAGTTTGCCTTTGGTTTTCCTCTAAACCACAAAAAAAGAACCCTCCAACGAAAAAGACGCAGCCATTGCGGGTTTCCAGGAAAAACATGTCCAAGAAAGACGCAGATTTGGGGAAATGGCGATCGGTTTTTGAGAAGAACGATGGCTGAAAGGAATGGACAAGGAATCAACTCCCATTGACCCAGGTCCTTACAGAATTCCGATTGCTAGCTTAGTGCCCTCCTTAGTGTCCTGAGTGCCCTAGAAAGTGCCAACAAAAGTGCCAGGACGTCCAGCTGCTGCCCCTGCGGGCCCACAGCTCCCTGAGCAAAAGCCGGGCCTCACCCAGGTGAGCATCGATCCGGAGAGTCGGGACTGGCCCGAGGCTGACCTTTGGGCCCCCGAAAGAGCATGGTTGTTGTTGGGAAGCATTTTTCATTTTGGCTTTCTTAACTGGTTTATTGTGGTTTAGTGGATTTGAAATCCAAATCCACTGAACTGCTAAATCTTTCGAGAATTTTTGCTCCCCAAACCCAACGTCAACCAAGGAAGGAGGACATGGAATCACCCCGAAAAGTCCGAAATACATCCATCCGATCTGGGTGTCCTGAATTCGGGACTCCCCCAAAAACCGGTTCATGATTAACGAGGCTTTTCAGCTAGGTGCCCTTTCTCATTTTTTTTGGGTTGGGAGATTCGGTTCCCCTAAAATAGACCACGGAAAAAGTTGGTACCCTTATTCTAACCTCTCTACTGGAGGACCTAGTTGACCTCTTTCGTTCTGGTCGGCAACCCTGGATCAGGGTTCAAGGAAGAAGGGTTTTTGGGCCATTGGATCTTCCCACAATCCAATTTGGCCTTCTTTTGGAAAATGGAGTAGGCCGAGCTTTTGGCCTATTTTCCAGGGTTCCCTTTGCAGGCAAACCTAGCCATCAACCCAAGCTGACAGGGTTAGTGCCCCCTTCCATGGTTGCCTCACTTGCCGCTTGGGCCGACCTTTGGGTCCCATTTCGCCCCAAAGCTTCGCAGCAACTGAGAATATCCCACGGAGCCACGGTGACATATGTGGACTCCAAGGGCAATCTGCACTAAAGTCCTGTTGACTCACAAGGGGGTCCAACCTACTGAAGGGGGAATCCTTAACTTTGGGGGGGGAACTCAGATTGATCCATGCAGGGTCGAAATCATCCTAGTTCCAGTTTGTCCTTTTTGTTGGGAAGGATGTCCCTTCAAAATCGACCAAGACAAAAACGAGCAAGGGCGCCCTTTCCCACATGGAAATCCATTGAGCTTTTGAATTATGCCCCTCTTTGAACTCAAGTAACCCTCAAGCGCAAGAATTCAGAAGCCCCTGGATTTGCAGGAGAAGGGGCACCACTTAGAGGGAACAGCTGATACGGGGAAAGGGGTTTACCTGTTGACCTGCTTTGTGGTGGTTTCGGGACCTCCTGAGAAAAAGGTGTCTACACCTATTCTATTTTTTTTGTCTTGGGGGGGCCCCCTGTGGTTGGGGATTGGGTTTGGTATCATCTTGTTCATACAATGGGGGTTTGTTAAAATGCTTGGGGGCCCCGGGCCTGGATTTTTTCGTTTTTTTTTTCGGCCCCCCAAAAAGGGTCAAAAGGCTTGCTGGCTCCCGAAGGAGACATGGACTCAGCCCGAAAAGTCCCGAAATCAATCCGATCTGGGTTTCCTGGTATTCGCGACTCCCCCAAAACGGTTCACCCCCAAAATCCGGGTCAGGTCATATTCCAGGTCCCCCAGTGCCCTTTCACCCCTTTTTTGGGGCAGGGGTCCCCTACCAAATTAGAAAAACCGAAAAAAGTTGGTACCGAAGCTTCTTCTAACATCTGCACTGGAGGACCTCGCCAAAGTTACGGAAAGGTCAATTTTTTCTCGGGCGATCGCAAGGGTCGACGAGCTGATCCGCTTGCGGACGCCACGGGTCAAACCTTGTCGCCTCGGCTTCGGCACGAGTCGCAGGGCATCTCCCAGGCCGACAACGCAGAGCATGAGCCGAGGTGGGGAGGTTGGTTGGTTCGAGCTCACAGGAGTCCCTGCTTCCATTTAATGATGTCAGTCGTCCCCAAAAAAAGTGACGGAACTCAGGGAGTGAGCCGAACGGAAACTCATGATCAAAGGCCCTCTTTGCTGAAGTCCCCCTGGAAAAAGTAACAATAAAAATCAGGAGTGATAGATTCCCTTCAAAACCAACATATAAAACACATTATTTTCTGGCCACTCTGAAAGCAATTTGATGTGTGTTTCGTTTTGCTGGGGTGATTTTTTTGAGGAGGAGATCCCGGCCCTGTCTTTTTTTGCGGCTATCTTTTTCATGGTCTTTTGGCTTTTGCACAGACCTCAAATGCGGTTTAGGTTGCAGGTAGAGCCCAGATGATGGTTGGGAAACAACTGGTCACAGTCAAAACCCGGCTAAGTGAAGGTTAGTAAGGGACAGTCCCCGTGCGGCCGCCTTCTTAATTCTTTGCGCGGATCTAGGAAAACCATTTTGATACCAGGTTTTGATTGTGAGTCACTTGGGACGTGCAGTTTTTGCCACCAGACCACAAGCATGTAAACGAGTACCCGTTCAGCGGCATGAAAGCGCTGCCTTTCGAACCCAAGGAGCCGGCGGAGGTGGCGAACGATTTTTTTTTCTGGTTTCCGGAAGGTCCTCCAGTGTTGTCAGGGATCCTTGGGATTTTTTAGACATTGGCGACCTATGCCACAACAACTTCACCAAAGGCGCCCAGCTTTGGTTCCCTTTTGTCACAGAGGGCCACTGCATCACCACTAGCCACTATGTGTCCTGATTAAGGTGCTCGTTCCAAAGTACGCCCCAGAAATGGCGGTGGTCCGTAAAAAACCCAAAAGGGGTTCCCTCCAAAAAAGACAGACCCATGTCCCGTAGGATTTCCAGAGTTGGGGCGAATGGTCACTCCGAACACTACTTGAACTTTGTCCGGCATCCAGAGAGCAACCTTCCTCCCAAGGGGGATGAAATCTTCAATTCCCACGACGGGTATCCATTCAACCATAGAGGGCCCACGAGCCACAATCAAAAACCGATTCGGGTTGCAAGTTAGAAGGTCTCCGGTCCTTTTGATCCGTACATGGTTTTGGGTCCAAACCAGCACCCCCTGGTCAGGTTCCATGTGTATACCGCATGAAATACGACGCCTCCCTGACCGGCAAGTTCTTTCGGCTTGTCTCCCATGCACTGAAGTGGAAGCAAGAACCCGGGTTCTGGGAGAAAAGGCCCTCGAAGCCCGCGCGCGAGCCCGCACGTACGCCCAGAAGCGGAAGCACGAGCGAGAGCTGGCCCAAGTTGACGCCCAAGCCTTGGCGCAGCGCAAGGCAGTTGGCCGCGAGACGCAAGTTCCGTCGGCGGAATCCAGGGGTACTTCCTGATTCTGTTCGCTCATTCCGTTGGCAGACGTGGTCTCGACGTCTGGGGCATGCGGCAGCAGCGCTTCCAGCGCAGTCGTGCGGGGCTCGCTGAGCACGCCGGCTGCAGCGGCTCCACGCGCTTCTGCGCCACCTGCTGCTTCATCACCGGCTGGCGCGGAGGCTTCGTCAGTTTTTTTGAGGAGGTGCTATCCCTCTAAAGAGTGACAGAGGTGCTTCGCCTGGTTTTCGGTCCTTGCGAGTTCAATCAGAATGAGCGACTACCCTTCCTCATTCTGCTGCTTTCGGAGGGGTTTTGTTTGGCCAGATGGCCTTTGCTTGGCCAGGGTAAGTTGTGACTCGCAAACATAGGACCTGCACAGGACCCTTTCCCCCGGAAAGGAGCATGGCCCAGGATCCCCTGTGCAGGTTCTAGGCTTAATTTTTGGTGGGAGGGTGCCCACTCTAGGTCCCCCAACTAGGTGCCAGCTTTTACCCCCTTTTTTGGTTGGGAGGGTAAGCTCTCCACCGGAGGACCTAGACTTATATACTCTTCTTCCTTGGCTTCGGTGGTTTGGGGCAAGGAACTCCAGTCAGAAGGAAGCGATCAGCTTGTGAAAACACGTATTCTTCTCCCCCCGCGGAAATTATGATAGTTGTTGGTTTCCACGCTTACTTACGAAATAGACTTTGTCAAGTGGAAGGGACGAAATTGGTGTTGCCCAGGTGCTTCAAACATGCAACATAGCCAATAAGTCTTGCTTTCTGCAAAAGGACACCGGCTTTCTAGGCTACTGATTCTCTCGCGCGGCACCCTCAATTGGTGGTTTGGATTCTGGTTTTGGATTTGAACCCCTGGTCCTTGTGGAGGATCGATTGGGTCCAGTTCGCGGGACCTTGGGATCGAGCGGGAGTTCCAGTGCGCCAGGGGAGGAGCGGAGCCTTTGGAGTCACGGCCGCGGGCCGTGGGGGGCCCAAGAGATGAACGACCCTCGCCGCCCACGAGGCGCTCGCTTTTTCCGCAAGGCGAGTCGACCAAGCTCGGGACCTTTGAGGTGGTTCCTTGGCCCATTTTTTTGGGGGTCAGGTTCCGCAAGGCGAGCCTACGATTTAATCCAGAAGAGTTAAGGTCCAAGTTCTGATTTTTCATCAAAGGTCGTTCCAAAAGGTGGGCTTGTTCTATGCTCACTTCCCGAATTGGGAACTTGGTTAAGCCCACGTTTCGTCCTTCAAAAGGTGGACCTTGCGTTTTTTATTCCTGAGGTCAGGTTCCTTGGCGCCATTTTTGGGGGGTCAGGTTCCGCAAGGTGAATGATCTATCCAGAAGAGTTGGGTCAATCGGCTCCACTTCAGGGTGGAGTTGAGGTGGACCTCAAAACCGTCTCAGTGATGGATTCGCAAGGCGAGAGTTGAGGTTCGTTTCGGCCATGAAATAGATGAGTTTCCAATCTTGTTTAGATTGGAGTGTTTGATGCCATTCCTATTCTCCAGGGGCTGCTGTCACAATCTGGCTTGCCTTTGGATTTTCTTTTTTTCTCCGGCCTTCTGGATCTTCTGGATTCGGGATTCGGCCCAACGGGGAAACCCCTTCCACGATGTTGAGCAACTGAGCAGCGCGCAACCCCCCCCCCAAAGGGCGACCTCAGTGGATGGTTCTACCTGGATTCATAAAGGTTACCAGGTCCCCCAGCTAGGTGCCCTTCTTAACCCCTTTTTTGGGGGAGGGTTCCCCTACTAAACAAGACGATATGAAAAAGCAATCGGGTACCGACTTATTCTGCCCCCTCTACTGGAGGACCTAGGTAATGTTAACGCTTAGCGCCATGTAAGACCCAAACGTCAGCCCGGGGCTTCGCTCATTGAAGAGCTGTAGAACCGAAGGAGTCCCCATGTCCCATTTTCCACTTTCGTGGCAGATCCCCTTTGCTGGGCCCCGGGTGAGGCTTAGTAGGCAGAGGCGAAGTAGGGCGCATGTGGGCCATACTTGAAGGGCCCACCGCCAAAACCCCTGGTTCCAGGTGACAGGGTGTTGCCCGTTTTGTGAAACAACAGAGAGGTGCTTGGGTTGCTGGGCAGCAAGAAAGCCTAGGCTTAGAGAGGCTAAGGCCACAAATCTGGGCCATACTTGCGTGGCTCCAGAATTTAGGATCTTAGGACCTTCGGGGCTTCGGGGCTTTGGCTTTAGCCAAGTCGCAGCTAGATCAAAGTGAGGTCCGCAGAGCACCGCTTCAAGGCAAAGTCGAGGGATGGGACTCGAGCGTTTTGACTCGACCTGAACAATGGCAATGGTATCTTGATGGTTTTTCCTAAAACCTACCCCCAAAAAGGGTACCCCAAAAACACGCATGCATAGACTTCCAGAGAATTCTGAGGGAGTTGTCACCTATCCCGCAAGTTTGAGGCTTAGCAACAGGTTAACGAACCGCTCAGATTTCATTAGGTCTTGTGCCACTTTTCATTGGTGCGTTTCCTCTTGGCGTGATTTTTCAGGCAAGGAGCTCCGAGCGACCCAAGCGAATCAATTTCCCCGAGTCTTTGACTTCTTTGGCGATTTTTCGGACTCTCCAATCATCAAGGCAGTCCTGGCAAACCCCTTGCACGCGTTTTTTGACCGCGTGCTAAATCCTGTATGGTAACCTAGGTAGCTAGGTGCCCGACCTCTCGCCTTTTTTGGGCAAGGGAGGGTTCCCCTACTGAAATAGACTACAGAACAAAGTTGGTACCAACTTATTCTAACCTTTTTCTGGGTGAAGCAGTGGTTTGAAGTGGTACAGGCCTTTGGGTAAAAAGCTCGGTAAGGTCTTCCGTGGGTTTTTATTCGATCGAGGCCTCGGTGATCGACACGTGGAATCTGTGCATCGAAGATTCGAAGATCCGTCCAAACTAACCTAGTGGAACCCCATGGTGTTTGGACTGGTCAAGAAATGTGTGTGGCTCAACATTTTCAACAGAAGGGGTTACGCAGTTTTTGGCCATTTTTTTCCACTTACCAGGGGTCCATTTTGGCACCGGCTTTTTTGAGCCACAGCCAAATGACCACGGAAAAACATCACGAGGGAGGACATGAGCCAATGAAATGGGTCCAAGTGATGCTACTGGCTTCGGGTTACACTACCGAAACCCCGTCTATGCGGAAGGGGCCTGACAACCATGGGAGGGGGACATCGAGTTGCCACTCTCAATTGAAAAAGAAAAACAAAAGTTGTACACCGTCTGGCCTCTCTTCACCATCGTGGTCACATGGCTCTTTTTTTTTTATCTGTTGGACCAGGTGGTGTTTTTGGACCTTTGGGTTTTCCTGGTTTGGCTGGTTTGGTCTACGTTTCGTCAAGGCCCGACAAAGTGAAGTTTTTATGTCCATGCTCTGTTGGCTGGTGAGTACCTGTTTTCATGGGGATGAACATCCTTAGGTAGATAGTGGTAGCTGAACCACTTTTGAGGCGAAATACCTATGTCTTTCACTACCTTGGTTACTTCCCCCCCATTGTTTTAATGGTGGTAGCTTTTCTCCCAGGGAGAGAGGACCATGTTGGAGCCAAGCGTCAGCTCGAGGAATCACGCGCCGCAGGTCTATGAGGACATCAAGTCCGCCGTGTCGTGACGACTGCGGTTGGCGCGTTTTCCCCGTGCGAAGAACGTGATTCAACAAACACCAGGGCTGGAAGCGAGCAAAAATTAGAGGTTTCCAAACAGCCAGGTATGTTTCAGTCGATTTGAGCATTAGGTCATGTGACTTGAAACGTAGCGCCTTGAGAGAAGCGATGCGGTTCCTCCAGGCAGGTGGCCGCTTTTGCTTCGAATTCGACGAGTTTGGTTCGTGCATGGCCGCGCGAAACGCGCGAGTTGCTCGCCGCGGAGCGCGGTATCCCTTCCTCTAGCGGGTGTGAAGTCAGTTGCTAGGTCCCCCAGCTAGGTGCCCTTTCTCACCCCTTTTTTGGGGGCAGGGTTCCCCTACCAAAATAGACAGAGAAAAGTTGGTACCCTTATTCTAACCTCTACTGGAGCACCTAGATAAAGTCAGTTTGGTTTTGGAGGTATCCCTTAAGGCACGCCCAAAAAAAGATGCCGAGGCCGAGGTCTAAGAAATCGAGTCGGTTGGATTCGTGTCGTCTGAGTGGCTGGCAATGATTGACGCCTGACAACGAAGACGCAAGGCGCGTGGAAACTACGTCAGGCAAGTAGGGTACAACCAATATTAGAAGTGGGACAACCGAGGTCGGCTGACTTACAACCATCGGTTGTAACCTACCTAAGTCAGTTGAAGATTCAAGCGGGGCTATAACCGCAGTTGTCATTTCAGAGAACTCTGAAGATGCACCATCCATGGCCGCGGCAAATGCTCCAAGGAAACTTAAGGAGGCGATCGGCCACTTGCCGGCCAGAAAGTTAACCCGAAATTCATATTTGGCGATGGATTTTAGTAGAGAACGACCTGAAAAGTGGTTGGCGGACATGAATCCCCACCATATTAAACTTCACACCCAATTCATGAACCCCTGCTTGATTCAGAACGGGACGCTCCATTCTAGAGGGGATGGATCATTAGAGGGGAACAGTGGGGACACTAATCTGCGAGGTTGATCACTCTGGGGTCGACATTCTGATCGGGGGCATCTTAACTTAGGCAGTCGGGGCCGTCGGATCTTGCGGTTTCAGCCGGCTTTGGTCCCCGAACACCAAACAGCATTCGCTTCTGTGATTCCCTGAAGCGAGCCAACATGGCGTTTCCAAACAGGAGACTGCATCATTGGGCGGTTTTTCCTCTGGCTGTCAAGGACCCCCCCCTGAAGTCGAAAAGAGCCACCTCAAAAGAAGGGGTGTCCTTCATGTCAGGTTCGGTCAAACATATTTTTCCTTCATACTATGCTCACTTCCTGAGGTCATGAGCTTTGAAACCTTTTGGGAAGACCACTTTAGTAGCAAATATAAAGTTTGAACTTTTTTTGGGCCATCCACTCAGCCAGTGATTCGGGACAAGCCAAAAATCTATGACAAGCAGGGAGTCTGCAGAGTGTGGCTCCTGGTGAGACTTTCTTGACCAAGGCTATGGGGATGGTTGGGGTGGACCTCGGGCCGGAGGGTGGTTGGATGGTTTGCCGGTGCTTTGCCGTTGATTTGTTTTTTGTTGGTTTGATTGATTGATTGATTGATTGATTGATTGATTGATTGATTGATTGATTGATTGATTGATTGATTGATTGATTGATTGAGTGATTGTTTGTTTGTTTGATTGTTTGTTTGTTTGCTTGTTTGCTTGTTTGCTTGTTTGCTTGCTTGCTTGTTTGCTTGTTTGTTTGTTTTTGTTTGGCGGTGCGGGGGGAAAGAACCGCTCGGTTTCATCCGCAAAGACAAGCCTTCATCGGACACGCTTGGTTTTGGAGGTCCCAGAAGCGGAGGTCCCCGAAAGCTGCTCACGTTCCGCTCGCTCCGTTGCTTTGCAACCGCTTGCGGCGCATGCCCAATAGGGGCGAATTACCAGCTCGACTTTTAAGACTTCAAAGGTCATGTGTCAAAACTGGGGACCCAACTTGTTTGAGCAAAGTTACCCTCCCACCAACGAACATGAATCTCACCTGAGCTCCCCTTCAGAGGAAAATGGGGCTGTCCTTTGGTCGAGGGGATTTTTTTTGGGGGGTGAGTGTAAAGGTTTTTTTTCCCGAAAGCATCGCGAAGGGTTCTTCCGTGCGGAGCCCTTGGACAAGTTACATAGAGCCAAGTTACATAGAGCCAAGTTACATAGAGCCAAGTTACATAGAGCCAAGTTACATAGAGCCAAGTTACATAGAGCCAAGTTACATAGAGCCAAGTTACATAGAGCCAAGTTACATAGAGCCAAGTTACATAGAGCCAAGTTACATAGAGCCAAGTTACATAGAGCCAAGTTACATAGAGCCAAGTTACATAGAGCCAAGTTACATAGAGCCAAGTTACATAGAGCCAAGTTACATAGAGCCAAGTTACATAGAGCCAAGTTACATAGAGCCAAGTTACATAGAGCCAAGTTACATAGAGCCAAGTTACATAGAGCCAAGTTACATAGAGCCAAGTTACATAGAGCCAAGTTACATAGAGCCAAGTTACATAGAGCCAAGTTACATAGAGCCAAGTTACATAGAGCCAAGTTACATAGAGCCAAGTTACATAGAGCCAAGTTACATAGAGCCAAGTTACATAGAGCCAAGTTACATAGAGCCAAGTTACATAGAGCCAAGGTTAGGTAGAGCTTAGAGCTTCGGCGTTAGCAGCTATGTAAGTTAGTTTAGGTTTCTAAGGCGCCGGGGCGGGAGTTTGATCGTCGCTCGGGATTGCGACCCTCTGCGGAGATTCGCGTGGTCGAGGTTCAAAAACTGAGGACTTTTTACGATTTTTAGCATGCCGCGCGCGACCCTCTGCGGAGATTCGCGTGGTCGAGGTTCAAAAACTGAGGACTTTTTACGATTTTTAGCATGCCCGCGCGACCCTCTGCGGAGATTCGCGTGGTCGAGGTTCAAAAACTGAGGACTTTTTACGATTTCTGCGGTGCGCGCGCGACCCTCTGCGGAGATTCGCGTGGTCGAGGTTCAAAAACTGAGGACTTTTTACGATTTCTGCGGTGCGCGCGCGACCCTCTGCGGAGATTCGCGTGGTCGAGGTTCAAAAACTGAGGTCTTTTTACGATTTCTGCGGTGCGCGCGCGACCGTCTGCGGAGATCGTGCGCGTCGAAGCGCTCTCGCTGTGGCGCCGTGCGAATTTGTCTCAGTCTCGGCGAACCCTCGCTGTGGCGCCGTGCAATATTCTTGCTCGCGAAACGGCCTTTGGAAGTTGTCTCGTGGTTTGCGCGCCTGCTTTCGCAATCCCGCGGTCGCGGGTTCGATTCCCCCCTGGTCCGCGGCAGCTCCGGCTTGAAAATCGCAGCTTTTAAGTACAAACGTAGTACGCGGAGCGTGCTCCTGCAGCTCCGGCTGGAAAATCGTAACTTTTAAGTGCAGACGTAGTGTGCGGAGCGTGCTCCGCAGCTCAGGCTGGAAAATCGCAACTTTTAAGTGCAAACGTAGTACGCGGAGCGTGCTCCTGCAGCTCCGGCTTGAAAATCGCAACTTTTAAGTACAAACGTAGTACGCGGAGCGTGCTCCTGCAGCTCCGGGTGGAAAATCGCAATTTTTAAGTACAGACGTAGTACCCGGAGCGCTCAGGCTGGAAATTCGCAACTTTTAAGTACAAACGTAGTACGCGGAGCACACCCCCGCAGCTCCGGCTGGAGAATCGCAACTTTTAAGTACAAACGTAGTACGCGGAGCACACCCCCGCAGCTCCGGCAGCACTTGCGCAGAGCAACTTGCGCAGAGTCACTTGCGCAGAGCAACTTGCGCAGAGCAACTTGCACAGAGCAATTGCACAAAGCACTTGCGCAGAGCAACTTGCACAGACCAACTTGCACAGAGCACATGCGCAAAGCGCTTGCACGGAGCAACTGGCGCAGAGCCCTTGCGCAGAGCAACTTGCTCAGAGCACTTGCGCAGAGCAACTTGCACAGAGCAGGCGCAGAGCAACTTGCACAGACCAACTTGCGCAGAGCACATGCGCAAAGCGCTTGCGCGGAGCAACTGGCGCAGAGCACTTGCGCAGAGCAACTTGCTCAGAGCACTTGCGCAGAGCAACTTGCACAGAGCACTTGCGCGCAGCAGCTTGCAGAGAGCAACTTGCGCGCAGCAGCCTGGAACAATGCAGCTTGCGCAGACCACTTTCGTGAGAAATCGCGCGGCGCAGTTCGAGAGGAAAGTAGGATGATGAGATGGAGCTCTCATGTGACCATACACACTGAGCATCGCCGCGCGCAGACACGCTCGCCGCGGCGATGCAAAAAGGTGTCTCCGCAGCTGGATGAGCACCTGTGGAAAAATGCTTTCGGGCCAATCGTCCTCTAGCTTTTTTGGGGGGGGTCCACATCCGAGGTTAAGACACACTCAATTTTTGCTTCTTCCGGAACCTCCCCAGGAGAGGGTCGGCACCCAGTTCTGACACAGCCATCCGCCTTTGGCTCGTGTGAGCCAAAGGCCGAAGGCCCGAGGCTGCGAGTGCTTTCCAGTGGCCGCGAGTGCAAGTTGACGCGACGGAATCCGTTTTCCACCCAAAACAACTTGAACAAATAAATGTGTTTTTTTAATGGTTGCCCTGAAAAAAATGGTCGCCGGCCCCTTGTTCAAGTTGATTTAATGGTGTCACTTTTGAACTTGGTTTGTCTCAAGGGAATCCGGACCCTTTTGCCTTTGCGATAGCGGGCAGTGTTCGGCGCAGCGATTGTAGGGGGGGACAGAGGAGAAGGCCCCCACAAGATATCCTCGGTTTCCCCTTTGGCTTCCACGAATTGACAGAAACGAGCCTCAAGAGAGGAGCCACCGAATGAGTGCCCTTAGAAATCCACTGGCCAGTAGCCTCGGTAAAACCAGTCGACTGAAACGAGGAAAGCATTGAGGTGGCGTAGCAATTGAGTTTTCAGCATGTTTGAGATTCATGTCCAGCGCAGGTGCAGGCCTGAAACAAGGGATTGCACACACGACCATGGGTGGTCCTTTTTGGTTTGGTCGAATTGAAAGTGTTCGGTGTACGTGGTTCAAACTACC